CCCCCCCCCCCCATTTATGCCTCGCAAGGAGTGGATGAAAAGACAAAGTTCAAAACAAGGAAGACAAAACATGAACAAAGCACCAAATAAAGTAAACAAGACTATGAACAAAGTATTAAATCAAAATCACTCGTGACAGAGGCAAAAACAAGTCTGTGAACAAAGTACAAAATAAACTCACTTACGAGGCATAAACAGGGGGGCAAGGTAAGGCTCAGTACGGTGGAGACAAATGACGGAACTCACTGGCCCCAGACAAGGGAAAACTATTTAACACGGGAGGGAAGGGAACCCAGGTGTACACAATGATCAGGAAGACAAGCAGACATGTGACACACAGGGAGACCTGACACAAGGGGACGCACCTTTCAAAATAAACCAGGATGTGACAAGACAACATGGAGACAGGACAAAAAACCAAAAATTCCCCCAGACGTGAGAGAATCATTTAACAACTCTGTGAACTACAGATGATTGAAGAGTCTTTGTAATTTCATGCCGAACAATGTTTTCACATGGGTCCAAACTTTGCAGAAACAAATCTGAACTTCCCCTCCCCTGGTGGCCATCTTTCCCTGTGAGACAGCAGGCCTCTCATTTGATCCCCATTCAAGTGGCCCCCCCGCTAACTAACCCCATTAGTTCAACCTGTTCTTTCACTGGTAAAGTTTGAAAATGTGATATGTTGAACGTCTCACCATCACGACATGTTTTACATTCCTATTTTGAAGACAATATGCTTTATAAGAACAACCAATAACGGTTTTGATTCCCCTTTGACAGAGTATTGTAACGTCTTTGTACGGTTGTTGTATGCTAGGACAGTTTGGTAAGTCCAGGTATGTTAAAAACGACCCTCATAAATCTGTGCCTGCACTAGTGATCACATCTCCTGCCCTCGTGTGAACATCTGAGCAGAAAATGCCATTTTGGAGAAGTAACAAAGCCTAAGATAGGTGCCAAAACAAGGTTATCTCGTCCTATGAAAATGAAAAACTGCTCCACCATTTTGCTTTCCAAAATGCTTCCTACTTTTTGTGTTTCATAGTCTACAGCCCTTTTCATGGATCCTGTTGAAGGCGAGGTGGAGCCTTCTGCTGCACGCGGCTGAGCGGGCTGTTCAGTATGGACAGAGTTAGAGGTCCAAATGTAGACGCGGAACTCTGAATGATGCAGTTTCCCCCTTCTGTCCAAACACTGCTTGCTTTGGTAGCACACACTGATCTGACGCTATGGCAACTCTGAGTGGTACTGAGTCTTCTCTAGTACCACAATGACAATATAGCACAACCTGTACAACTGAAGGATGGTGCCTACCCAGCTGGGTTTGCTCACAGCCATCAAAAAGTAAACAACTACCACCATTCTGGACAATCCAACTGAGTGGACCTTGTGGTATGAAGTATCAACGCAATAAGAACTAAAACAATGTACAGGATGAGAAACGGGGCATTACTGACATTTTGACTCTGTAAATGTAAATAAACTACATTTTTATGGATTCTTCTGTCATATTCTACAAACTAATCCTGATAAGGAAAAAGGAGCTTCATAGAACTTCATAGAACAGAAAGAGCAGCTGAAGGACAGATTGAGACACTGAAAGAGGAGACACATTTTATCCTTTTTATTTCATTTAATCTCTTTAGACTCACATACTGCCACTGGAATTTCGAAACAGCTATAAATATTTTCTGGACGTGTGTAAGTGAGGATAACGGTGATTTTAACGAGGACTTTAAGACTCTGACCTCCACAGAGGGCACAGCCTTTGACTTCTTTACATTCTCACAGGGAGCAACACTGGTAAACCTTTATTTTTTCATTTTTTGAATCTAAATGTTATAACTGAAAGGTGGACCTGCCTGAGAACCACAGAAGCTACAACTACCATAGCTGTAAAACTCCAGTTCACAGAATGAATGTTGGGTTTGATCTAATGATAAAACAACTGATCCCACTCACGCTAACACTCAGCTGCTATGGCTCTGCAACACACACCCTCACCCTAAAGTCCTATCAACATTAATGAAGCACTTTAGATATTTTGTGTTTTCCAAACGGGGCACACTGTTACATGAACATGATGTCATGTATATCAAACTAGAGATCATACAGAACATTATCTTACTATCAAAGTTCATTACAAAAGAAGAAAAATTAGAAAAATCTTAAAAAGTTCAATCATTTGCAATCGGAGGGTTTGCATAGTCATCCCGCTGTCCTAATAATCAGAGTTAGTATAAATGAATGAAAAAAATCATGCATTGCTCTAAAAGCCATCAATGCTACTAAGCTGCTAATTAATATCAGAAAGGCCC